CTGGGAACCACTAGGGGCTCTTGGGTCTGGTTTTGAGCTTTCTTGGCTAATTTTGGAGCCACGTGGAGGTTTCGACATCCCATCGGAAACGGTAGGGCGAAAAGGCAGCAGCCATTGATGTGTCAATCCAGTTGGTCGACCAATTGCGTCCAGAAGGCAGGTGGGATTTGCTGGCACCCCAGCCGTCCTTGTAAAATACACATACAACATGGTCGCGGGGCGGCCGCGCATGCTCCTCATGTAGAGGCAGAGTGCGTTTTGTAGTGTTCTTGAAAGGGATGGTGAGGTGGGCGGCCCTCATGGGGTCGTCATGGTTCCGGGTTGGCCGCCGGCCGGGTGGGGGAGGGGGTGTATATCAATAGGGAACAGTGATGAGCCCCTCCCCGAAGGGGAAGAAGGGGGTTGGAAGAGGAAACGCCCTAGACCACCGCCAGAGGGCTGGTGGGATCACATTCTTGTAAGAGGGAACTTGGAGGGAGGGATTATTGAAACATCGCTGGTGCGTCTTGGATTCGCACTGGTCCTCCTCCACCTCCTCCACCTCCTCCCCCCTCCTTCTCGACACCATCCACCGGATCACCCGCGGGGGCGCGAAGATAATCGCGCGTCACGAGTTGCGGTCTAGGCCAGAGCAATTGGCTTGTCCTAAAAGGGGCGAAGCGAGGTCGCGTGGGCGCGAAGAGTACCGCGCCCTCGCGCATCGCGATGCGCGATGCGCGAAGTTCGCTGACCGAGATCGACGGCCTCCCCCCTCCTCTTCCGCCTTCCCCTCCCAATAGGCCTCTCAAGCTCGCCAGTCGCGCGAACCGTTCAACGATCCGCGGTCGTGACGACTCGCAGGAGGCAGGGTCGAGACCGCTCGTCTGTGCGCCGGGCTTCGGGGCGCCGACGGTTCGGGCCGCTGGAGCAGCCAAGTGTATGTGGCGGAGGCCCACGCCCACAGATCACGTCGGTGGGGTCGCGATCGTGTCCTCGTCCTCATCCTCACGGTGCCCGGCCATGAGCTAAAGAGGTTTGGGATCGAACAAAATGTGTGGCCGAAAACTTGCCCAGAATTGTAGCAGAAAGTATGGGCAGCATGACCGAAATTGTATTCGAATATTGTTTTGAGCAGTGCAACTCGTTTACACTTTGGCACGTTCAAAAAAGTGGAGCACACGAGGCTGCGTGACAAACCTCTGGCGCAATTTCTCCCCAAGCCGCAGGCGCTTCTGGGCTGTCGACACCCCTACCCCATGATCCCTGGCATTCGTCCCCATGGCCGCTTCTTGATCAAGAAGCCGCCCTTTCCCGGGCCTAGACGATGGTCGACCACCGTCTAGGCCCGGGCGTTTTGTTTGCCGGATCGCCAAACATCAGAAACCCTGAGGCGGATCCAGCCGCGGCGACGAGAGCGCCCCAGGATGCCCAAAAAGGGCCAAGAACGCCTCAACCCCTCGACCTTTGATCTTCGAGTCTCGATCTTCTCGACTCACCTGAGAGATGTGGCCAGCCCCTGCTCCCAGAAGTCTCCTAGAGACCTCCTCAGGCATTTGCATGAAAGTCCCTGATGGCCCATGCGGAGGCCTCTGGAGGCCCAAGACAGCACACTTTCTTCTTACCGACGTGAGGAGCCCTGTGGCGAGAGGGAAAGAACGCGCGGGGAGAGGAGGGAGAGGGGGCAAGGGGGGTGGACGGCGCGCCCGCCCGCCGAGCGCCCCGCGCAGCGCGCGGCGAGCCAGGAGACGCCCGCCCAGCGGCCGCCCGGCCTACGGCTGGCTGGCGGCGGCGTCGATGCCGGCCGCCATCCGCCCCATCAGCTCTGGGAGCTCTGGGCCGGCGAGGCCGCCGACGGCGGCGTTCAGCTGGCGCTGCAGCGCCCGGCGCTTCCCCTTGATGGGGACGTGGAGGAGGGCGGCAACCTGCTCCTCCGCCGCGCGGCCTCCGCACCGCAGCAGCGCCCCCACCAAGGCCAGGTGGTGCGCGCGCGCCTCCGCAGCCGCCGCGTCCGCCGCTTGGACCTCCACCGGCCCCGCTTGGCCGGGAGGCACCTCCACCAGCCTCGGGAAGCCGGGAGGCCCAAGACAGCACACACACACACACTCACACTCTCTCTCTCTCTCTTCCAATGCGTTGGTACGGCCCAACCAGCACTTATTGTTTGGGGACTTTAGCAACTCAAATTCGTTTCCTTGTGAAGCGCGTTAAAGAAAAAGCTGAGCTCCTTCTAACGCGCAGTGGCGGAACCAGGGCCGAACAATCACAGGCGGGGCAGCACACGCACAAGCAAATCAGAGCCACTGTCGACGACAGTAAGGTTCTCTGGAGGTCCTTGGACGTCCCTTGGAGGCCCAAGGAGGTCCCTGGAGGCCTCCGAGCGCCCAGAGCGGGGCGAGAGCGACCAGAAACCGACGAGCTCAACCTTCGATCGTCGATCATTCGATCGATAGGCCCTGAATCGATCGATCCCTTCGGCGGCGGTTCTGCGAAGGGCGCGCTGCGGCCCGCCGGGCGATGCCAAGGACTCCGCCCGCCCGCCGCACGAGCCGGAGCCCCTGGCGGAGCCGCAGGACGGCCCCGAGGCGGCGGACGCGGCCAGATGGCACGCGCAGGACCGCCGGGCGCCCCCTCCCCAGGCGTGCTAGCGCTCTCGAGGCCACCCATTTGCAAACGTTCGGACCCTTTCGGGCTTCTCGGGAGCGTCAGCACCCAAGAGGATGGTCTGGCGACAAGAGCAGTGACCCAGAGCATGCCGTCTGTGAGATGTGACACGTGGTGCTCGAATGGAGAAGACAGACAGACAGATAGACAGACAGACAGGCAGGCAGGCAGGCAGGACGGACAGACAGACAGACATACAGAGACGCGTGCTCGCGCTGTGGTAGACTCGCGACTGGAGGCCTTTACCCGTTTTCGGTCCTTGGGGGGCCCTCGCCGGGCCCCGGGACCGTCAAAGAACGGTTGGGGAAAGGACCGGGCTCTCTGGGGCCCCGAGTCGACCAACTCAAGACATCGCATGTACGGGTCGGGTCTTCCAATCTCCGATGACTGTTCTTTATCCAATCCGGGCGTTTCTCTTCGATTTCGGCCATCGGGCCCCGGGATTGTCAAATATGGATCCGCGACGAGTGTTTAACCCCTGCGGATGGGGCCGCGCATTGGTCCAGGCCTCCCAAATGGGGACCGAGTAGATGGGGTCGGAGGATCGTGCCGCATTGCCAATGCATCGGCGACGCGGCTCGATGCTGGGTCCGATGTTCGCCGCGCCGACGGCGGAGATGCATCGCCGACGTCGCGGGCGCATCGGCGACGCGGCGCGATCCCCATCTAGGATCTAGGAGGTCTCTACCCTGGGGGTGGGTCCGCGCATTGGAAACATTGAATCCTCGGATGTCCGGGCCTGGGCGTCGTGAGTGCTTCGTGGCTGCCAGCTTTCCTCAGCTTTCGGCCTCTGGGGGCGTTGTTCCCGGCCCCCTGACCAGCCGAGGTCTCGGTACTGTTGTTCCCTGGGTCCCACACATCCCTCCGTCAAATTTAGCGCACGTTTTTCCCGCGCCGCGTCGGCACCCCCAGACTCCCAAGTTTCAATGTTGATGCCGCAATACATGACGTCAATTTGCTCGTCGGCGTCCGCGGACCGTGCCGCGCGCGCAGCTGAAAATTATAATTGGTGGCGAGGGGGGATCGGCAAAACTTGCGTTAAGTTCCGCGGAGGGACGCAGGGCCGGATCGGAAGGACGGGGAAGGGTGGGGCACTTACTGTGCATCTTCGGGGGATCTTTCCTGTCCTGTCAATGGCATTATTTTATTGCGGTCCGACGTGGGACACGAATTCGACGCGCTCGACACGGATTGGGCACGGATTCGATGCGGATTGGGCACAGATTCGATTCGACCGACGATGCAATTCAAGAGTGCGGCATCTGTTGCATGTAGCTGGCTTCAGTTCCGCCGCCAGGCCCTTTCCTCAAGACATGGCCGCATCTGGCGCCTGCGGGCGCTGGCAAAACCAGCTACATGCAGCTGATTCGCCATCCCCTCTGAGCCATGAGTATCAAAGCAATGAAACGGTATGTTTTGTTTGTTTGTCCTCCCCTGGGGGCCGTCTCCCAGCTCTGGGACCGTCGAAGAGCTATACCGCCTGACGGTCCATGGGAAGTGCCGGAAGTGCCACGAACAGAAACGTGACGTGGGAGGAGAATGCCCCCCCCCCTTCCGTCCTCCCTGGCTTCCGAGAATGGGGCGCCCGAGGCGGCAGCTGGGTTCCAGAGGGCCGTTCCTCCTCGTCCCGTTGCGCTGCTGCTGCCGCTGAAAGCTGCCCTGCTGCCGCTGCCCTGCTGCCGCTGCCCTGCTGCCGCTGCCCTGCTGCCGCTGCCCTGCTGCCGCTGCTGTAGCCCTAGGAGGCCCGACTGGGAGCTCGGCCCCATGGGGGACCCTTTGCAGCGCCTCTGCCGTGGGCCCTCAAAAGGTGGCCCTGGGGGTGATAACGGCTACAGCGTCGGGGCTCCGCGCTGTGAGACAAGCATTGCGTCGGGGTCCGGTTTGGAGGCCCGTGCATCCTCAGACCTCGGGCGCCATGAACAAAACACGACTGGCCCAGTCTGGGCCTCGCCCGGCCCCCCTCGGGCCTTGGGGAAGGGCCACGGAGTAATTGCGATTTTGGATACCAAAGCGTGTCCTTAGGATGGGGTTAGTGGTCTGGAGGCAGGGAGATGAAGAGAAGGACGGGGAGGAAGGAGTGGTCGATATTCACTGGCTGGTTTCGCTCCGGGGTATTGCCACTCGCGGGCGTTTGCTTTACATGTGATTTGCGCAACGGGCGGATCGAGGAGTCTCAGGGCCAGGTCGAAGGCAAGAAGAGCCACACCACCACCAGGGGTGTCAACTCCAGCGCGGCGAGGAGGTTCACAATCTCTCTCCGAGCTGGGGGACAGGGATGTCTCGAGCGAGCTGAAGGGACACACCTCCATGAGGACCTTCCTGGCTCCTCGCGCCTGCCGCCTTTCCTTGTTCCGAGCCAGGAGATCAAAATCGAGGAGCTCACGGATCAGCTCAACGCCTTGAGGGAGGCAAACAGGATTGCGGAGGGCAGGGTAGAGGACCTAAGGCGCGCGCTGAGGTCAGAGGAGACGAGGCACAGGAGGGAGAAGGATGAGCTCATGCAGAAGCTGCAGAGCCTGGGCAACGATGACGATGACAGGAACGGTGAGACGAGCGAGCTGAGGGAGAGGCTGAGGAGCACGGAGCAGGAGAAGAACGTACTCGTGAACGATTTCGAGTGGAAGGAGCTCCAGTGGAAGACCCAGATCGAGAACGCAAAGCTTGAACTGGAGGAAACGAAGAGGAGGTCTGTCAACAAGGCCAAAGAACACGAGTCGCAAATCGCGGCGCTGGAGGCGACCGCGAAGGAGGCGCTTGAGGGCAGACCTGTGCCCCAGGACGCTGCTCCTTATTCCTCCCTCCACCATATGTCTCCTTCTTCCATTCATTATCCTCCCTTCTCCATCCTGCCTGCTCTCCCCCCCCTTGCGAAGGAGCCGCTGGACGTCCGACCTGTGCCCCAGGACGCTGCTTCTCATTCTTCCCTCCACTATGTTCCTCCTTCTCCCCTTTTTCTTCTCCCTCCTCCATCCTGCCTGCCCCCCCCCTCCTGCATCCTCTCTTTTTTTTCTTCTCTCTCTCTCTCTGTCTCTCTCTGTATCTCCCCTCCGCTCCCTACATCGTCGACCTCCTCCATCCTCCGCTTCCCCCCAGCCCTGTTATGATTCCTCCTCCCTCCCACCCGCCCTCCCTCCGACGATCGCGACATCGACGACGGCGACGACCACGAAGAATTCGAGTCAGACCTCTGGCCTCAGGCGGCCGTTTGGGGCGATTCCAGCGTCCCCGGAACGCCCGCGATGAGGCGCAGCTGATCAAAACCCCGCCCCGAGCCCCGAAAACATTCGGCATCATTTTTGAAAACCGACAACGACGACGATGACGACGCGACGATGCTGACGACGCCGATGACGCCGACGCCGACGCCGAGGCCAACGTCGCCGCCGCCGCCTCCGCCACCGCCGCCGCCGCCGACGACGACGACGAAGTTGTGACGGCAGCGACGGCGGTGACAACGACGTTTGAGCCCCCAGGACTCCCCGCGGGCAGAGGGCCAGCCAGCCCTCGCATTGGGGTGGCTGCTCCGCTGCCCGGTGCCGCGCGCGCACCTCCTCCCCGGGGCTCGTTGCAATCCAGGAAATCACAAACCAGAATGTGTAATCCACGGCCCCAGACATGTTCGCGCCGAGGAAAAATACGACGAGGCGTTTTTCCCCTTTTCCGGCTTCCGGGGGCCCTCGCTGGGCCCCGGGACCTTTCAAAGCGCCCAGGGGCCCCGCGCTGGTCGATTCAAGACATCGAATCGCTGGGCCCACCAAACCAGCACAGTGCAAACCATCGAATAGTAACAAAATGAACAAACATAAACTTGGGGAGGTCAGCGCAGATTTCTTGAATCGGCGCCTGGCCCCCGTGGCGGCGGCTCCGGCGCCGCCTCTGGCGCGTTCCACGCGCCAGGGAGGGGGATCCAGCGCCGATCCAAGAAATCCGCGTGGAGCTCCGCGCGAAGCTCCGAAACTTCACGTTTATGCTTTTGCTTCTTCTCCTGATGAACCTCGGCAGTGCCAAGGGGGTTCACTAGGGGGGTCACAAGTTCCGTCCGAGGATCAAGGTTCCAGGATGGAAGCTCGAGGAGAGATGTTTGTGCGCTTGGGGTCGTTTGGGGGTCGGGGGGGCACTGGATTGTTCTTCGGGGTACACATCCTCGAGGACATGGCGCTTCCGCGAGGAAGGGGCGACCCCCTCAGTGGTGAACCCCCGTTGGTGTTGCCCCGCCTATGGAACCAGGACATTGCAATTCAGGACTTTGGAAATTCAGGCCACGAAGAACGACGAATGGACGATGCTTCTACCCATGGCTGTGGCTGCAGTTTTTCGGGCGGACGGTGACGGGAGAGGCCAATGAACGCAGGGAGATCGAGGACTGCAGGAAAGTGGCCCTACAGAGGTCCTCGATGGCCCCTGCACTGCCAAAAGGTGTACGCTGCCCCCCCCGTAACCGAACACCCCAGCTTTCGTGGGTGCGCCAATGTTACGGCGGGAGCGTTCGTAAAGGAATGCGCCCAGGAGGTTCGAGATCTTCGAGGTTTCCTTATTCTGTGAGGACGTCGGTGATACCCATGGCCAATCCTCAATGAGCGTCCCACTGGCTTTCAGACCTTGGATTCCTCATCCAACGGCTCCTTATCCAACGCACTCACCGTATGGTTTAGCAAATGTCCCGTTTACGGGACCACCGCGCTTCGGCGCGACCGACACGCTAACCACGTCCGGGTCCTCATGCGACAACGTCCCGAGCCTTCTCCTGGCCCCCGCCCCGCACGGAGTTGCTTGCAGGGCATCGTTTGTCGCTGGGGCCACCGCCGCGACACGCTAAGCAAATGCTCCCGACTAGAAGACCAGATCTAGTTTTGGACCACCCCCGCCCCCCCCCAAGCTCGGGGGAGGGGCGGCCGCGCCGCGCCTGCGCGGGTGCCTTCCAGAGCCCTGCAGGTGCGCAGCGCCGGGTCGTCCTCTCGGATCGAGAAGCCCGCCTTCTGTCAGGAGTCCTGCTGGCAGGCTCCCAGATGTCCTTCCTCCCCCTTTCGCCTCATCCTCTGCCGCATTGTCCTCCTCCCCCAGCTCCTCCTCCTCTCTCTTCTCCTCCGCCTCCTCGTTCGCATCGCCCTCGCCTCCCAGTTCCTTCTCATCGCCCTTTCTCAGCATTCCCCCCACCCCTCTCGTCCACCTCATCCTCCGCCGCTTCATCCATCGTGATCCTCCGCGTTCGCCTCGTACTTGTCCCCCAGCTCATCCTCCTCCCCTCTCTCCTCCCCCTCTGCCCATGGTCCTCCTCATCCTTCCTTCCTCCTCCTCCCCGTTCTTCTGCTCCTCCTGCTCCGCCTCCGCCTCCACGTTCGCCACGCCCTCACCCCCCAGCTCCCCTTCCATATCCATCTTCTCATTATCCTTCATTCGTGCATGTACTTCAACTCTTCCGAAAAGCAGCCATCTACAGGTGATTGTCTTAGATCATTATCCTGTGATGGCTAGATGTGCGATGTTATGGGGCCTGCTTAGACATGCCATACACGTTCAGTTTGCTTAGAATACGTATGTTGGCTCCTGCTCGGAACATGCCCTCATCGTCGACGGTGGTGCAGACCAGTTTGCAGGATATATTGGACCAAGGGAATTATGTAATGCGCATCGCTGCCAACACGCTGCCGAAGCAAGAACGATAAACCGTCACACCATGGATCACACATCGCATAATGAACTTCATCGACCGACGCAACCAAGTAAGTGCAGACAACGACAAACTCGAGGAGAAGTGGCGCGTGAAGGAAATCCGCAGAGCGCGCACGTTCTGAGAAAATTGTCGGCCCAAGCCACGACGGCAGGGAAGGCTTCAAACATGAGCGCGCAATTTGTGGTCAGCACGTGTAAAGAGAAGACGCAATGGCAGAGTATGCGCAGAACGTAAACTGGAAAGCACGCGTATCGGAGTTGATCGACGACGGCCTCGATGGAGCGTCACTACCAGCACTGGGCTCAAATTCTTCACGCTTCGCGTATCCCCACCAGCCCATCTCAAAACAGCAACTCTTGCGAAGCATGCCGACAGTCGTGTTTTTCAGGCGTGTTTCCGCCTGCCCCCGCATATCTCCCCTGTTCCTCCTTCCTCCCGCCTCCTTGTACATCCTCCTTGTGGTGGGAGCGGGAGAAGGACGAGGCGGAGGAGCAGGGAGAGAAAGCGCTCCTCGTGGTTTGAGTCGTTTGGGGTTTCTCGTCCTGGTGTGAGTCGTTCGGGCCCTTCTTCCTGGTGTGAGTCGTTGGGGCTCTTCGTGGTGTGAGTCGTTCGGGCTCTTCGTCCTGGTGTGAGTCGTTCGGGCTTCTCGTGGTGTGAGTTGTTCGGGCCCCTCGTCCTGGTGTGAGTCGTTCGGGCCCCTCCTCCTGGTGTGACTCGTTCGGGCTCCTCGTGGTGTGAGTCGTTCGGGGCCCGCGTCGTGGTGTGAGTCGTTCGGGCTCCTCGTGGTGTGAGTCGTTCGGGCGCCTCGTCCTGGTGTGAGTCGTTCGGGCCCCTCCTTGTGGTGTGAGTCGTTCGGGCTCTTCGTGGTGTGAGTCGTTCGGGCCCCTCGTCCTGGTGTGAGTCGTTCGGGCTCCTCGTGGAGCTTTTTGGGTGCCTCTTGGAGCCTCTTGGGGCCTCTTGGGGGCCTCTTGGGGGCCTCTTGGGGGCCTCTTGGGGGCCTCTTGGGGCTTCTTGGGGCCTCTTGGGGGCCTCTTGGGGGCCTCTTGGGGGCCTCTTGGGGCCGCTTGGGGGCCTGAGGCCTCTTGGGAGCCTCCTGGGGGCCTCTTGGGGGCTCTTGCGACCTCCTCAGAAGCGCAAAGAAGAGCTGCCCCCTGAGAAGGACAAACTGAGCCCAAAACCTTCGTAAAATCAATGATTTTGCTATGAAGGTCGATGAGCGCTGCCCCCTTCAGAAGTCCAAAATGGGGCCGAAACCCTAGTAAACTCAATGTTTTTGGCTTCACAGAAGAGCAGAGGGGCCAAACTCGGTCCCCCCGTCGGGGCCAGAATCCTCGTGAGGGTCGTCGTTGTTTAGCCCTCCCAGGAGTCGTAAAAGACCCCTCTGACCACCCGCGGGGGTCCCTCTCCAGGCCCAGGGGGAGGGGGTAGGGGGGGGGGGTAAACCCCTCCCCGAAGGGGAAGGAGGGGGGGGGGGGGGGGAGGACAGAGCGGGCTCTCTAAACCACTCACGCCCAAAGGGCTGGTGGGATTTTACACCCGAGAAAGTTAGCCCAATTATCTGTACATTCTAGCTTGGTGCAGCTTCTTGCATGGATGACGTGCCAGCAGAGTATCCGGGAGCACGTATCATTGGCCCGGGCGGGTGGGACCGAATGGATTTACGGAATGTTGTAGCACATGTTGGGACCAGTTGCCCGCGCCTGCAGCTGGGACAGAGCACGCCTTATTTTTGTTATGTGCAAGAAACAAGCGGGCTCTTGGCAGCAGCAACTACCGCCCAATCAGCTTATTTTGCTCGGCGTACAAGCTCATGGCGACATTTATTTTGAACGGCTTCAAAACGGTGGGGTTGATGACAGACCCGCACTCAAGCAGTTCGGGTTATGTTGGGGATGTGGGACATCAGTTGCGCTACATGTCGGCCGCTGCTACACGGAATTGGCTGATGCAGCCAAACATGGGGGCGTGTCGTCCGTTGTTCTGGATTGGAAGAGGACCTTCGATGCGATCAACGTTGACGCGCTGATGGGGGCTTTACGAACATTCTGTGTACCCGGCCACATCCTGAACATCATCGGCAACAGCTACGGTGGTAGGATTTGCCGTGTCTCTGATGCACGACCAACAGGTTTTCATACAAAGGCCCCAGTTGTTTGGAAGATCGCAGGATGACCGTTGCCCCCTTTCTTTTTCATTCTGGCACTGACGGTTCTTATCTGGGACGCCGCGCAACATGCAGGGACCACCGTGCTACAAGCTTTGGAGGGGGAACATCCGGCTGTTATTCTGCATGCCGGCCGACAAGTGGTTCGTAGGCAGCTGCCAAGACAAATTGCAAGAGTTGCTGGCAGAAGTCGCTCTTGCAGGAGCCCAGGTGGGCACGGAGCTACACTTGGGACATGTTCCAATGTATGCCAGATCGGTGCGACATTAAACCTCCCCGCGCCAAGTGGCGACCAAATCTCTGCGCAAGAATACATTGCATTGCACATCTTGGAGCCATGATCTTCAGCTTCGGGCCGCTAGTTGCAGAAGTGGTCATGTTATGGGGGGCTGCCCAGGGCGAGTTCTGCGAGTACGCGCGCCTGGAGGCGCACGGCTACCAGCGCAGTGCAAAAACCAGTTTCCCCAAGCACTCGTGACAAGACAAATGTTGTACTTGTTGAACATCAAACTCGGAATGACCTAGTACATCATGGCGGGCAAACATGGATGGTGTTCAATGTAGATGGTTGCGTTGACTGCGACATGTATCCTGAACACATGATTCGCGAGTTTCCGACAAAAACTTGCTGCAACAATCCGGGAAACAGACATGCACAGCGCAATTTTTGAAACATCAGCTGCTGCTGTTTGGAAGACTAGGCAGAGCTACCTTCTCCGACCCGCTGCGCCATCCCCATTTTTTTTCCGGGCAGCTGGAGGCCAGTTGCAAACGCGCGCGCCTGAGCAGTGGGGAGATTGATGCAAGATTGGACGAACAAAGTGTTCGCTCTAGATAAACAACAGTTCGATATCCATGAGCACATGACGGATTGCTTTGAGGACCCCTCTGCTTGGCACAGCTTCGTAATTCAGTTGGCGAAGTACCTTTTTGGGCCTCCTGGTTATCCCTCCGTTCCTCCTCCTTTTCCCCCTCGTTCGACCAGTGACGAAGCGTCTTGTCTTGCCTATAGGCCCGCCACGGAATGCTGTAATGACCTTTTTGTAGTCTGCGCGATATGCTCTTAGTACGTTCCTGGCTGGGACTGAGTTTTTTTTAAGACATCGGGCCCATGTTTTACGAACGTTGTTTTTGTTCTTAGAAGATGCTTGATAGGAATGCCGGGACGGTCGTTCCCTGCTCAACTCTTGTGCACGTCCCAAATCGCAAAGTATAAGATATGTTTTGCTCTAGCTTGCATGCGCCGCCGTCGAAACCGCAAAGCGGAGGTTCTGGCGAGTCCCACGTGCTACGGCGTATGGCATGACCGACAGATTGTCTGATTGACTGCCACCTAGCCAGCTGATGGGAGCCGCATCTGGGTGGTTCCGTCAACTCGTGAGAGCAATGCAGGGTCGACGTTCTGCGTCTCAGCATTGACGTTTTGGCGTCAATGTTGCAAATGCGTGGCCAGAGCTGGACGGGGCGGGGCGCGCACACCTCGTAGAAGGGCGAACTGTCGTTGACGCTTCGGCTCCGCGCCTCGCTCGAGCCGTTGGTGGCGGGGCCGCGCGCGAACGTGCGGTTGGCCGTCCTCGCCCGGAGATCTCCGTGCACAGTCCGCCCAGACGTGGCGTTGCCGTGCGGGCGCGGCGCGTGCCTCGTTCGCCGCGTGGAATGGCAGCGGCAGAGGCGGCGGGTCCGTGTGAGGGCGGGCGTGGTGCGGTTCTCGCCCAGACGCCGCGCGGTTTGAGCGTGAAGGTGGCCTTTGTCGCGCTCATCGGAAGTTTGGGCGCCCGATGGAGGGCAAACTTGTGCTCTCGCCGCAGCGCCGCGCACACATTGCCTGAAGTTCCGTTCCTGGCCGTGCGCGGCTCCCTTTTGCCAGGTCGTCGGAAGCAGGAGTGCGCGCGAGCGCTTTCCGTTCGCCAGGCGGGAGCGCGTTCCTGATCCAATATCAGGATGTGCCGCCATTGGTTTCGGTTTTCGGGGGCAGGGACGGACGGGCGGGTCCCGCTGAATCGATCGACCAGGGCAACGTGTATCATCCTCCAATTTTTCCCCCTCTCCCCCTCTTGCTCGCCCTCCGTTCCCCAGTTCCTTCTCCGCCTCGGTCGCCTCGCCCTCGTTCCCCAGCTCCTCCTCTATCTCCTCGTCCACCCCTCGTCCCTAATGCAAAGCCCGTCCTCGCTGCAGTTCCCCGACGTGTCGTTTGCTACGCCCTGGTTTTTGTACCATTTATTTTTGCTCATGATGGCTACGAGGTTTTTTGGTTTCAAATGCCAGCCGGTGCGCAGAGGCAGGGTGGGCTGTTTTCATGATGGGGACATTGTTTTTGTTTGCCGCGCGCATTCGTTCAAACACGTCAGCTGCCGCAAGTCTGCAGGCGGAGTCGCTTTGAACATGCGGCTCTTAACATGTGGCTCTCGCCACAGCGCCGCGCACATTCGTCTGTACAGCTCTCAACAATTGCAAGGACGGAGGGCCGTGCCTTCTCAAATTTTCCTGCGACGTACCCAACCCTTTCTATACACGTGGCGGCTACATTCAGGACCACTCAATGCTGACGGGCATGCTGAAAAAAAACCGCAGTGCGGACGAAGAGCGCCCATCAGTGATTTCAGAGGAGCGCAGCAAGAAGAGCAGCGGCAACGCGTAAGATGTACCTCCGCTGGTAAAAATGCCTGTTTTGGGCATCCCCCCCTCGCGCAGTCCATCAACAAGGAACAGTAAGCAGCAATAAGTCAACAAGGAACAGTAAGCAGCAAGAAGCAGAACTGTAACAGTGGAAACTGGAAGCTGCAACTGGTACAGGAAACTGCGAAGCTTCGGCCTAAAGCCTGCGGCCCCACAAGGGGGCTGGCGGATCTTCTTGAGTTGTTCTTCAGTTTCCTTGCCGTCCGTCTTGATGGATCCGTGCTTGTTGATGTTGGCCTTCCAGCCTCGATTGGACTTGCTCTGTGCAAGAATCTCCCGGGCTTGCTTGTAGTTAGGCTTGTGACCTTTTCGTCCAGCCTTCCACCCGAGACGCTGTGCCTCAGCCGCTAGAGTGTCGCACTCCTCCTGGCTGACCTCCTCGGGGTCGACGTCGTCAACCACCCCCTCGAACTCGTCGATGTCGGCTGCCAGCGCGTCGTCGTCTTCATCGCTCAGAAACCCGTCCTCATCGCATACCCCACACTCGTACTCAAGTAGGGCTTCCTCCTCGTCATCGTCGTAGTCCACCGGGTATGCTCCATAACGTCCGTGACCACGTTCGTCTCTGCACGTCGTGTCCAGCTGGATGAGCTTCGCCGCCGTCACGTCGTCCCAGATGTACTCGTTGTTGCACTGCCCGAGAATAGCCTTATGCTCGGTCATGCTAATATTGGCCAACTTGAGTAGGAAGTGCGTCCGCAGGTCTTCGCTCACCGTCGTGTTCGTTGAGAGAGACTTGAGCCCCTCGTACTCCGTCTCCCGCCTCGATAGGTAGTCCTGCACTGACTCCGATCTGCTGCGAAAACCTTTGAAGACATACTCCTCGAATGCTTGTTGCTTTTGTAGTGGTGCGATTTGTTCGCAGGCATGTCGGACCGTGGCCACTACCAACTTTATTGCAGCAAGTGGGTCCTCACTTGCTTTGTCCAGCACTGCTTGCGTCGCAATCTCTGGCTTCTTCCTTGTGAGGTTCCACGCTCGCCCATTCAGAGAGTTCTTAAGCTTGGTCGCGTAGAGCTTCTGCAGCTTTTCCTCGCTCGCATAGTAGCCGAGTATTGCGCGCTCCTCGAACTCCTCGCCGTAGGCTGGGTCGCCGTTGTAGTGCACGACGCCCTCCTAGTCCACGAAGAGGGATCCTTCGTTGGATGCTGTTGCCTGTTCGCCACCTTGTCTGTGGTGATGGTGTTGCCGTCTCTGATGATAGTGTTGTCGTCTCTGATGATGGTGTTGCCGTCTAGCTTGTAGTAGATTTCGTTGTCGCTTCTGCTGTCCGGGTCGTTGCAACGATTCTCTGCCAGGTTGCAAGTGATGATGTTCAGCGTGTTGATCGTTGAAAGAAGTGCGTAGTGGTAAAGCACTACGAGAGTCGTGAGCGCCAGCATATATCTGCACGGCCACTCCCAAGATGAATCTCGCAACCGTAGAACTGATACAGCTCCGCTACCAGTATAAATACTGATCACAATATCCCTCCCTCCAAGCACTAGAAGCAAACACAAGATAAGATAACTAAGTTCAAATTATCCCCGTACTCAAAGCAGTCGTGAGTAGGTGCGTCCACCCTCCCGCCCAGCTTGTGAGGCATAGCAGCCACGAGCGAGAGGGAAAGATAACTCATGATCACCCTAAATATCACATCCTTGCCAGCCTGATTTTCACATTCTACAGGTTGGTGCAGTCTCGTTTTCTTTGGCAGCCCTGTGCGTCGCCATGCATGGCCCCGCCGGAAGCCAGCAGCCTGGCAGCGGTTGTCAGTGGAGGCGGCTCTGGTCTTGTGCCTGCGACCGCGGACCAAAGTGGATAGTCCCAGCTGCATTGCGGTAGACTGTTGGCCTTCTGGCCTGAGTATTGCATGACGTTTTGCCACCGCTCTGGAAGGTGTACCACATAAGACCCTCGGCCTATGTTGTAGAGGTGCTCTGGCAACATGTCTCGAACTCGCAATGGTTTGTACCCTCGGCGCGAGGGCATCCCAAGGACGGTCCGCCGTGCCCGTGAGCAGCGACTGAACGATGCTGCAAACCGCCTGCCGACCTGCACGCCAAACCGCCTGCCGACCTGCCGCCTGCGGGCTTGGTCAAAAGATCCCAAGATTCCGCCCAGGTCCTTTTCATCCCCCTTTTCTCCTCCTTTGCCCTCGTTCTCCTCTGAGTTCCGATGTTTTGACAAAGTCAGCACGTAGAGAAAAACCGCGACCGGAGCTCTAGACCTTCTCTTTTTGCGGCACTTTTCGAGCGGGGTCTATCTGTGACGGTCCCTGGGCCCGAAAACAGGCGAAAACGCTTGGAGTCAAAAATAGCAGAGCGCGGATCTCAGGGTCCCGCCCAGCCCTCCTGTAATTAATCCTCCTCTTCTCCATCGACATGAGAATTAGTGTACTAGTTCTGTGTAGGCCGTTCGAACCAGAAGTTTTACCCTGTTCCCCCGCAAGGTGGTCAGTCAGATCTCTGGCATGGTGGCGCTCTGGTGCTCCATCGGCGAGCACGTTATCCAGCACGCCTCCCGAGAGGCGAGCCGCCTCTGGGTCTCCTCGATGCTGGAGGGGAGCTCGGTGCCCCCTGCCCTCCTCTCCGCCTCCCCTGAGAGCCTGGCGTTGCACTTTTTCCTCGCCGGGCGCTTTCGCCTGGAGACGGGCCCAAGGACCATGACAGATCGATCCGGCTTGAACATTACAGAAGAAAGATGGGGGTGAGGGCTCTGGCCGAGTTTTCTTACGATATTACTTGTTTCTTGACGTCGGATGTCAGGGTCCTCCTTTTCCACCTCCCCCTCCCCCTCTTCCTACTCCTCCTCCGTCTCCTCACCACATCGAAGAAAAATATGGCAGAAACATTAATGTTCCGAGTCCCTTCGACTTTCGAGGTGGGCCGGACGACAAACAAAACTGCAAAAGCATAAATGTTCGGAGTTCCGCGTGGATATGTTGGATCGGTGCTGGGCGCCCCCCCTGGCAGCGCCACCGGCGTCGCTCCTGTCACCCGAGGCGCGCCAGGGAGGGGGTCCAGCGTCGCCCCAACAAATCCGCGCGGAGCTCCGAAAGTTCACGTTTATGGAGCTAGTCTCTCTTCCTCCTCCTCCTCCTCCCCCTCCTCCTCCTTCTCCTTCCCCTGTCATCCTCCTCCTCCTCCTCCTCCTCCTCCTCCTCCTCCTCATCATCATCATCATCATCAAAGGCCGCCGAGGCTCAGGCCACCGAAGGTGCAGCGGCCTCCAGTCACCGCCCTCTCGCCTTTGCCCGAAAGGCAGAGGGCCGCTTGACGACACCGCGCAGACAGCCATGCCGCCAAGGCTGTGCTCCAGAGCGCGGGCGCCGCGCACCTGCTGAGCGACAGGACCTGCTCGCTGACGAACGCATGGCACCTGACCACCAGCCAGACGACAACGCCGATGCTGCAGCACGGGAACTACAGAGCCCACCACGACGCACACGAGTCCCGCGCTACAGCCGCCGCCCAGCCCCGACCCCAGCATCACCACCACCACATCCACTCCCAATTTGCGAAGGACCACCACTGGAAGCAGAGCATCAATTTCAACATCATCACGAACATAGAGGGCCAGCACGTGCAGGAGTACAACAAGCCGATCTTGAATTGCTGGACGCTGAACTTCAATTTCAACAACAACACGGACACGGCGGGCCAGTACATGCAGGAGCACACCACGCAGACCATGAATTGCCACCAGTGGAACAATGGCGCGCTGACGTTGAATTACCACCTGGAATTGATTTTCGACATGAACGGGAACCATGCGACGAACGACCTGAACATCAATTTCCAGCCCGACGACCCGCCGACGCCCCCCCGCCTGGCCCTCTGGAGCCCCCACGCCGCCCTGACCCTGACGCACGCCCACACCAAACCACTACGAAGGCCATCACAAGATTGGGATGGAACCCATTCTCGCTCAAGGGAGTACCAGGACGCCTCGACCACATCTCCGACACGCGCCGTGCTGTACAGATCATGATGTACGTGGGCACCAAGATACGCCAACGCACTACCGACGCCCCGCACCATCTTGAGGACAGCCTACACCACACATGGGTCCACTTCGGATGGGGCAGGGGGGGCCCACACAAATAGCTCAGCGGGCTGCAGCATTGCGGTATCTAAGCGCCACTTCCGAAAGATAGATATTGTCAAGGTACTACACCCTCCCCAACCCGACCCACGGGGCCGCGCAGGCGCAGTCGAGCTCCATCGAGGCCAGCTCCGCATTCGACTCAGTGTAGCGCATTTTCCACCAAGGCCGAACGGAGCGGGCCAACACCAACATTGGAAAGCAGGATGCCGACGACTATGGAGCTGGGTATTGCAGACACTCACTAACACCCCCACGCGCGTCACACCCATCATGTTCACAGACCTCAACCAAGGACTAGGACGACGGGCACGACAGCTAAATACTGGCAATGCGATCGGCAGCTACCAGGCCAGCGACGAGACCGAGTTCGGACGCTTTATCCACGACCAGATGCTGATCCATCAATTGACGGCCATCAATACGCACATCGACGCGGGCAACACCTACTGCGGGCCCAACAAAGCCAGATCACGCATCGACTACTTCATCGGATACGACAACCTCATGGAGATCGTGAAATACGTGAAGTTGAATTGGAAGATCCACGCCAAGCTACGCAACCCACTGCACGTTGCCGATCGCGTCCCCATGATCATGCAGATCAAGATGCCTGCCGGCGGTGCCAACATGAAGAACAATAACATCCGCTGGGACTTCGGCCTTCTTGCTGCTGGGCTCCAGACGGGCGCCCACCGCGCCGCCTTCCTCAATGACGTCTACGCCGAGATCAGCAAACACAGGGAGGTCATCCGAGTTGTCAAGATGGATCAGTTTCCGACCCGCCACAACGCTCTCATCGCCCATGTCATTCGTGAATGCGGCCGTAAGTATTATACAAAGGAAGGAGGAGGACAGCCACAATGGCACCAACAAGCACGACTTGAACGCCTCCGCGTGCTTAAAGAGCGCGCCGATTACCGAGCTCGACGACTACCTTTCAACCATGAGACCCTGCGCGAGATCCAACGACGAATGCGAACGCACCAGCGCTGGATGGACCACTGGTGACAAGTAAGTATTGACCAGGACATCCGCGACGCGTGGGCTACACGCGACCTCTCCCGAGTCGCGCGCCTGACGTACATTCGAGCAGGACGACGGACGGGGCCGCGACGAAGATCATACTTTTCACTACCATCCACGCGCCCCTCCGCAGCCGAATACACAGATGCCCTTACTCAACCAGCTGTTCAAGGGGGACTTTCGGCCACGCCTGCCTACGTCAGTATGTATATCGACGACCCGACATCTATTCCACGATTACTAGCCCAATCGAACGACATACAACCAGTGGGGGGGCACATCGGCGCCCCCGAGCTCCACGACATCGAGACAGCAGCAGAAGAGCTCGAACATCTGCAGAAACGACTGTGGAGGGAAAAACGGAGGCGCTACAAGCCCACCTTGGGCGTGGCCCATCGAACTCACCATCATGCTCCTCGCCCCACAGTATCTGACCCGCCCTGGCGTCCAAAGGGCAGGGATGGGACATGACACCGCAGATTATCAGTGCGCGGACCCGCTCGCCGAGCGAGTCTACCAACCCAGTCGACGGAAGCTCGTGATTGACCATGACGTCAGCTCCACCATCAACCAGACTTTCGTCACACTACTTGCCCACGTCCATCGATGTGGATCTCTACCCGCCCAGGCTTTCACTAGTCAGGCGGTCGCTATCGGCAAAAAAGGGAAAAGCCCCACTGGCAACGTGATTCAGGATATTCATGCATGCGTGCGTTTACTTCATTGTTTCGATCATGTTTTGGCGTTTGTATCTCAGGATAGGACTCATTCAGTATGGAACCCAATTCGACCCACCACCGTGGGCGCACGGAGGCATTCATTCCCGTCGCCGCGAGTCGCTCATGCTTATTGCTAAGCTTTTGATATGGAAGATGAGAGCAGCCAGAATTTCTTTTCTGTGTAAGTCGTACGACATGCGGAACGCATTCGCGACAGGCTCACACGAGCGATTGGTCGCAGCCCACACACTCCGATGCGAAGACGAACATTTTCATCCCCTCCTGGAGCAGCATCGACAGGATGCTGTAGTATTTCTGCAGGCGTCTGATGCCAGCATAGCTCTTCGACCAGGGACAGGAGGGAGGATGGGCGACTCGAACGAGCTTGAACTTTTCATGGAATCATCCTATCCATTAGTTGCGCAGTGGTCCCAGGAGATGGCCCAGGTCCAGGGAAATCCGTTTCAGGTACATTGCCCTTTCACTGGTGAAGAGCATGATGCGCACCTTGGGGCTTTCACCGACGATTTAGTCAAGATCCTCTTGGTGCCAGATGGCACGTCCCTCCAGGCGCTGCAGATTGATAAGATCGTCAACAACACGCTCTCCCAGGCCCTCGAGGCTGGCGGCTACGCACAGAACATCAGTAAGCAGGACACCCTGGTCTCACTGGGCACCCACGGGGCTACGAAGGAGGCCGAGCGGAACATCTCTGGGAATGCGGTCCAGGACTTGATTTATCCCGGAGGAGATGCACATGTCGCTAACAACAAGCGTCGTGAAGTCGAGGCCCGCATACAATCGGGAAAGACTGGGTGGTGCCGTCTGGGCAACTACTGGTATTCTGGAGGACCTTGGAAGGCCAAACGACTCGCGTTCGTGTCCAATGTCGCGGGGAGGGTCTGGTCGGGCCTCGAAAGCTATGCGTTGACCCCCAGAGAGCTCCATAGACTCGACAGTTCGTTAGCCCGTAAACTACGATCAATGATGAGAGGAACGGCACACAAGGAGGATGAGAACAACAATCATCGATCCTTGTCCACCCGACAAGTTTTTATTGAATGGCAAGTTGCACCGACTGCCATCGAATTACTCGTGCGCAGGCTCAGTTGGTGACAGGGCACCATTCGATCACACGCTCAGCAAGGCCACTTTCTCGCGGCTTTTTTTTAGAAGGCGCAAGTTCGAGCAGCAGGCGGCCATAAGCAACCGCCCCGTCAGCACGGACACCCTCAACTCGCAGGGTGAGATCTCCGCAGACCCGAACGTGCACCCGTGAGCCAAACAGCTCGCGGACGATTTGATGTGCCGATCGTCTCACACGATTGGCGAGAGCTTTCAGGAAGCGCGGCAACCTCGATTTATAAAAAAAACTGATGGGGCGACGAGTGGGTTCGAGAGGCCTTTCTAAGCTGCGACGTTCGGGCTCTCAGGGCATCCTATTGGACGACTCAGTGGCCCCCCCCCGAGGCCAGCGTGATTACTTCTTCTCTCCCCTCGGCGTCAGCATGCGACGAGACGGACACCGATGACGAGACGAACCGCCCCTTCGTGTGCAACATCGAGTCGTGCCAGAAACGGTTCGGGACGCTCAAACAGCTCGCCACACATCAAACCAAATCTAAGAGCCTAGGACACGGTATGCCAGCGGTATTGACCACGTTACAGATCGACAACA